AGGGCCCGTCCGTTCCACGTAGGAGTCAGACCGTCCGGTCCAGACCTAGACCGGACGGTCCGACTTTTGGGAAAATTTCCTTTTTCGCGTTTTAGGGTTTAGGTAATCCTATTAATCATGGGAGCCGCCAGAAATCCTAGGGAATTAGCCTAACACGTTCTAGACACATTCTAGAGCCTTGGAGAAGCTTTCTCTTGAGTTCTAAACCAAGGAATATCGATTCCAAGTCTAAGACATCGTTTTCTCTTCACAAATCCTAGCAGATACGTTCCAAAGTGTTGGAATTCATCCCGCTGGTGTGGATACATGTAGAGGAGTTGTACTTTCAACTCTCGGTGATTAAAACAGGCTCCTATCTAAATATCTATATATTCCTATTTAAAAAATATATATATACTCCTACATATATATTCATTTCTATATACAAATACAAATATAAATATAGATACTCCTATATAAAAATATATCTCTATATATACAAAATAAAACATATACATATATATATATACTAACATCTATACAAATATATATACATATACATACAAACAAATATATTTATATATATACACATACACATATATAAATATATATACACGTATATATATGTATATATATATATACATATATATATACATACATACATACATACAAAATAAAAAATACATATATATACAAATATATTCATATCCACATACAAATACAAATATAAACATAAATACTCCAATGTATATATATATCTATATATATCAAATAAAAAATATACACATATATAGATGTATTTATACCAATATATATACATACAAGTATATTTATATATATACACATACATATATATAAATACATATACACGCATATATGTATGTATATATATACATATGCATATATATATGTACATACATACATACAAAATAATCTATATATATATATATATATCCACATACAAATACAAATATAAACATAAATACTCCTAGGTATATATATATACATAATAAAAAATATATAAGTATATATACATATATAGGAGTATGTATGTTTATATTTGTATTTGTATATAGATATGAATATATATGTGTATTTTTTTACCTTTTACTTTTATTTTTTTATTTTATTTTTTTTAGTTTTTTTTCGGATTTTTGTTTTGTTTTTTTAAATCCGTTTTTTATTTTTATTTTTTTCGGATTTTTTTGTTTTTTTTTTTAAATCTGACGTGGCATGCTGACATGGTAAAATTTCTCATGTGGCATGCCATGTCAGACGCCATGTGGTGTGCCATGTCATCGGTTAACGGACATTTAACACCGTTTTCGGATTGTGTAGGAAATTGCAGTTAAATTGGGTAGTTCGTGTATCAATTTGGCACATTTGATAATTTGGTGTAAGTTTTTGTCAAATTAAAAGTTTGTGTAGGAAAAAATCACATTTTAAACAATTCGTGTAGGAAAATGTCATTTTCCCATATATTTACGATACCCAACAAATTCTTCCATTTGTTTGGACTTCTTTACAAACCTTAACGATATCCCTATGAAACCTTAACAATGCGAGAGGGAATCGGTTGGTGAGGAGATCTCATCCATTCCTTTATTCCTCGGTCTCGTCTTCAGCATCTACAACCATGCATTTTTCGAGCCATATCTATCCTGAACTTGCGATTGCATTGCATGAATATCGGTTTCATATCCGTGTTTTCTGATTTTGGAATCCTTGAGAGAGTTTCTATATGAATCTAAGTGGTTTTTTACGAGTTAAAACACACGAATCGAACCATGTCTTGGCAGGTTACTGTATCTTTCTTGAGATACATTTAACAGATATATTTACGATACGTTTTATCAGAATATGAAATTATCTTATTCGAATGTGATTCGATAAAGAGACAAAATACTAGAGCTGTGACAGATGACTAGGGACGCATGGACGTTCATGCGAGGAAACGCCGCGGTTGGCAAACACCACATTTACAAAGAGACCAACACATAATACAGACAAAAACCAAAGTACTCTAATGTCTTCTTACACGTTCTCGACATGCAAACTCCCTCCTCCTCCATAAATACCCACCAAAAGCACTAAACAAAAGCATCAAACACAAGCAAACACGACAAAACGCACTTCATCACCACAAAAGATGGCGAAGCTCATAGTCCTCTTGGCAACTTTTGCCCTCTTCCTCGTCCTGTCTAACGCCTCCATCTACCGCACGGTGGTTGAGTTCGACGAAGACGACGTGAACCAGAGGGGCCCACAAGGACGCTGCCAGAGGGAGTTCCAGCAGCAACAGCAGCTCAGGGCTTGCCAACAATGGATCCGCCGACGTGCCCAACGCGGCGGTGGCTCGGCCGATGATGACATCGAGCTCGTGACTGAAGACGACGACGTGAACCAGAGGACGCCAGCCCTCCGACAGTGCTGCAACGAGCTGCGTCAAGTTGACCGCATGTGCGTGTGCCCAGTGATAAGGCACGCGGCTCAACAGGTGAGGTACCAGGGACAGCACCAGCCACAGCAGGTGAGACAGATGTTCCAAGCTGCTAGGAACTTGCCCAACATCTGCAACATCCCTGTCGGACAATGCCAGTTCCAGGCTACCCCTTACTAAACCTGAAACCGGCACGTACGTGCATGCATGCATGTTTCAAGGGTTTTGAATTCGGCGTGGAGTTGAGTCGTCACACCTAATCGTGTGAGTGGGTGCATGTATGCTGAGGTTAGAAGCAAAATAATGTAACTTGCACTCATCCTTAATAAAACGTTTTAACGTCTTCTCTACTTTCTAATCCCATTACGAATTAATTATGCATTCAGTATAACAAAATTTATTTTCGAAAGTGGACATATATACGACTTGATGTTTGCTCCACATATATTGTTCAAGTGAACAATTAATATAGTTAAGTTCGTTTGACAATTATATTTCATAGATAATCATAATTTATATATATGAATATCTAATATAGTTTATAAGAAATTATAGTTTATTATTTTAATATTTTTTTATTATAAAATGATTAATTTTCTGTTTTTGCATCTTTACTGATTTTAATGGTGATATGCGTGATACAAAGCAGAAGCCGTTATATGATTATTAATCTGTAATCAAGTAATTAATAAGAGAGAATCTCCTCCTAGTATTTGTTGGAGCAATCTTTTGGCTACTTGTGTCTTTGGAGTTAAAAAAACGGAAAATGTGAATCTTCTTTTATCTTCATTAATCTGACGTGGCAAGACGTTTTTTTTTTAATATCTTTGGACTACTTTTGTTTCTATTTATTATAAAAAGAAATAAATCAAATTAAGACAAATCGTGCCAACAAAATCATATGAGAATCTTTAGAACATTTCAAAGAGAGTACGTACAAGAGAGACACTGAAAATTGAAAGGGCAACACGCCAAGCACGTCGGGCACATGCAATGAGAGAGTGCCAAACCACGAATGATGCAGGTTGTAATAAAACTATATATCGAATTATAAAAATAAAAAAGAATAGTATATAAAGAGATGCAAAAGCAAATCAAGAAATCAAGAAAAGAAAGAGAATGAGAATGGGAACGCCAACAATGGCTCTCATGGCATACGCGTTGGTGTTTAGCGCGGTGGCAGTGGCTGTGGCCTCTTATGAACCGTACGTCTACGCTTCTCCACCGCCACCAACAACAACATACTCGTCTCCATCTCACAAAAACCAATCTCCTTACTACTACAAATCACCACCGTCTCCTCTAAAATACAGAAGAGACGGTCCTAAATACAAGCCTCATCCTAAACAATACGTTTACAAATCTCCACCACCTCCTCCTTATTACTCACCTTCTCCAAAACCCGAGTACAAATCTCCACCACCTCTATACATCTATAACTCTCCCCCGCCTCCGCCCTACTATTCTCCATCTCCAAAACCTGAGTACAAGTCTCCACCACCACCGTATGTTTACACTTCTCCCCCACCTCCTCCATACTACTCTCCATCTCCAAAACCTGAGTACAAGTCCCCACCACCACCGTATGTTTACACTTCTCCCCCACCTCCTCCATACTACTCTCCATCTCCAAAACCTGAGTACA